TTTGGGCGTTTCAGATTGATCACGTCAACTTCCTAGGCACAAAAACAGAGAGAAGGCACCCGAAATAGCAGTAAAAAGTGCGGAGAACCAGCCAATTCCTCGAAATTTCTGAAGGGATCAACTTCTGGAAGAAATCACCTAGAGTCGCCATACTTCTAATGCCTCCTACGGTCGGTGAGTGAGTATCCAACTCATGAGGAAGTGAAACATCGTTTCCTACAACTTATGAGCCCCTATTCAGAGATATAGTGGTATTTTTAGATTGCGGAGTCTCTCCAGTATAAGGTAGCGATTCGTTTAACTTCCTACCTAAGTAGGTACCATGAAGTCCTAGATCGATAGCCGCTCAAGCCAACCAACCATCTTTGGATGAAAGAAAGGCCAACTTGGTGAATCTGGGAGTTGTTTTGTGCCATAGGCGTGACGTGACATGGCACTTCCTCATTTTAGCCGAGCCTTCAATCCATTTCTCATTTGAATATATCAATCTACAGGATTGGGAACTACAGTGAACCATAGTTCTAGATGGGATATCCCTTTTACTCGTTCTCTCGCCATTCATTCAGCATCCATTCATACAGCCAGCTCCGATTACCATTCAAAACTTGCGCACTAATCGTACATGACAATCTAGAGGGAACCCAAGTGGTAGATAGCGGAAGCGATTCGTGGGAAGAGGTGCAGAAATGTGAGAAACGGTAAACGGGTGTCTCTACTGGCAAATGAATTACAACTACAATTTCTAAGGGACTAACAGAGACTTCTACCCACTTGTAAACTACCCATTTGATTTAACTGTAGGAGGCATAAATCACAGCCGCTCCAAATTCGAAGTGGATGATTCCAACGATTACTGATCCACGTGCCAGGTAAGGCATAAGAAGTAGAGATATGAAATTACAATTACAATTGCAATTTAGCACCTGACCCCTATGACCAAGCGTTTCCAATGTGAGAAGTCAGTTGGATGAATCCCTCTACCTCACTCTTTCAAACCATGCCACTTTACCCAATTCTGCCTTCTCTCCGCCCTTTTCCGACCTTTTCAGTCTACCCCTAGAACTCTCTTTTTTCTGATTATCTTCAAGTGTGATACGGCTGGTTATGATCCTTTGAAGCGGTCCAGCCCTACAATTACACTACTGGCAGACACCAGTGTATCAAAAGGGAGTGTGAGAGGAAATACAGCGATTTTCCCGGAAGTTGAAGTGAAGACGGTAAATGCCGACTATTAAGAATTCACGTAATCCCTAATTTCTAGGAGGAAAATTGAGAGCAGCACTTCTGGCCAATCTGCAATTACATGGCAATAGAAAAAGCGAGAAAAATGAGAACCAAGAACATGATATCGACATCTTTTTCCACTACCTCATCGATTTCCCGGGAAAACTTCAGCAGCTCCCTAGCAGGGTATCAAATTAACAATATGTAGACTCAAAGTCCAGAATTAATGATCATTATGAAATCCTGTACAGTTTCACAAAACCTAAGTGGTCGAGCAGTTGACAACGGCGCTAGGTTTCCGCGAGTGGAAAATTTGATCACTGACCCAGCCTGCTCACCTTCAGTTTCATGGATTCTGACCATTCAGCAAAAATTCCAAAGCTCAGATCTCCTCAGCTACAGACTTCGGACTGAACTACAACTGCGTAGTAGCTCTTGGCCTTTCCACACATCGTCACACACCCCTACAGCTGCAATGACGCCCTGGACTAACCGGATATCCAAACTGAGCCCAGGACAGTCATAAAGTTTTCCAAATTCCCGGATACACCCAGACCAATGTTATGGACGTAGGCCCCGTTCAGGTCGTACAAGACGCTTCCTCTGAAGCTTCAACACAGCGGAACATATCTGAATGCTGTTGACGTACGTGATGTACGAACTTCATTGAGCAGCAACTGTTTTCTGAAAGCTATGCATGAGCCATCCCCGCTGGAATTGTGACAACAATACGACAGAGGATATTCGATTGTCCCATTTCACTTCGTAATCAGAAAAAGAAAAAAAAAGGAGCAGACGAATTCTGGTTCCACTCAAAAAGCCAGACTTTTGAAAACTCAGCAGAAATTGATTGTCCGTCCTCTTATCAATACTGGTCTCACTACGGAATTCCAAAAAAGTTTTTGATGAATATGGCTCCATTCCAAAGTGTAAGACTTTAGCAGGAAGCTAGGCAGGTTCTTCAAAAACATGACCCACTCTATCACCTCCCACTCAACTTTTGGAATTTACCAATAGTTATCAGTCCGGTTTTTTTAGAGATATGGCTACAGCGCATCTTACTTCGAATCTCCGGAAATCTCTATTGCCAAGTTCAATCTCTGTTCAACCTGACTTTTTCTTATGAATTTCATGAAATATCCTCGATCCTCCTAGTAATTCTGGGCGTACGATCATCGCAAAGCATAAAAGTGTACTTGTATTGTTTGCAGTGCAACCAAGAAACCATGAAATCAACCATAGGTGTGGGAATCATCTGGGAAATCGATTGTGGGTGTTCCCGTTGAAACGTAGTTTTTTCTAACGCACAATTTACCAGGCAAACAAAGCCAGCGTCAGCCATTCACTTGAGAACGGAAATCTTCGCCCTCAGCCTGCCTATGCTCTATGCTCGGCCAAAAATCACCCATGCTTGAAAGTAAGCTAAGAAAACCTGTCTCCAGTTCTCATACCGTTTAACAACGTAATTTCAAAGCAAATCTCTAGGGAATGAACATCAGAAACCCCTCTTTATGAGCTTGTCAATGCCATGCTTCCAATGATTGAAAGATTGGGAAACTCGGGCAAAATACGCGGCATGGAAGAAAAAGAACCTTCAATTCTCTAATCCGCTCTAAACACGGGGTAGATATTCTTTATTAAGTCTTCTCGGTCTGTCGAAGGGTAGCTCTTTTTCGAATCTTCCAAGAGATTCAGAAAAGAGAAGTGGGACCAAAAAACTCGCTAAAAAGCCTAAGCCACCCCTCCCAAAGTCTAAAGCTCCTCACATTGAAGCCATCGAGAAGTAACGCTACGAAGTCTGCTGCATTAGGTTCATCGAATCCGCTAGACAACATCCTGCCGTTGACCTCCGTTTAGTTCAACTTGCTACATTTGAATGAGAACGTTCAGCGAACGAGGCCATTCCGCTCGCAATGCAAAGCGCAAGGTCACTTTGCTGCAAAGGAATCTCTGTGAAGCGATCAAAGACCTTAAAAGAAGTTTTGAAGACAAAATTCTAGCCCGGAAATCTTTAAGGTGGAAAACGAGTAATAGGAGCTTTCACGACGCCAAAAAAAGTAACTTCGCTCAAAACAGGAAAACCCCTTGGAAAGAAATTGCTCAATTCGATTCACGAATACTTAAATTTTCCAAACAAATTTCCTGAGGTTCTTTTCCCATGCCGTCATTCGAAGCAATCGTATCCCCTCCTCCTTCCTGCTCATAAACGGAGGAGCTCCTTGCGCACATCCCTTAAAAAAACTGCACGAAAACCAGTTCAGAGAATTAATGGGGATAGTTAACAAGCCAATATCCCCAGATCTGAGGGAAGATTAATCGGCCTCTGACGCAGTTCATGCAGTTCCGCCTACGAAGGCCGAAAGATGACCTGATGAGGATGAATGCATGCCGGATTTATTTCAATTTTATAGCAAACTAAGTTTTTTTTCATGAAGAACGCATCCTTTGATGATGCTCAGATGGAGAGTACACTGAAACTCCATTTCGGCTGAACAGCAAACGCGGTACCCCACTGACTAGACAACAATTCATGAGTACTGTTATCTGTGTCTAGGACCACCTTTTTCGTACACATAGAATATTTTCAGTAGACAAGAACCAACGTTAAGGAAGGAAATGGGAGATCACGAGCGACCAGAAGCCCCTCTCTCATTTCGTCTTATTTCATGAGAATTCTGAGTAGACATAGTTGCAGACTCACTGAATTCCAATTAACTGTGAACATCAATTACTTCTCCTGGGAGCCGTTCACGTCCTTTCAAAAAACTGAAGACTTAGACCCATCCAGGAAACTATGACTGGAAGACCATTGAGCAGGCAAGGACAAGCTGGATTAGGCATTATGAAGGAAAAGGAGCACTGTTTCTGGAAAGCATAGATATGGGTTCAATCCCGTCCAGGGCAGAAGTTTGATCATAATTCGTCATCATTGTGAGATACGATCTTTTATGGGACAAAACGAACGAGCCAGAGCATGCATAACGCCTTACAGTATTCAGTTAGTTCCTTTCAAGCACCGCTGATCTCTTCCGATCCCAGAAACCGCATTCAACAATCCCCCTACTGACATCATCGTACCAGACATATCTCTCCCATCGTATCATTCTCTCCCAATCGAGAACACCTTGAGTGCGGCGGTGGCTAAAAAAGGAAGAAGGAAAAATGCGCGTTGCGATCAGACCACCACCGATTCCCCACTAACGCCACCGGAAAGAGAATCACCATGATCATTCGTGGAGATAACAATACCGCTGCGATTCTTAGCAGTGCAGTCCAAGTGCAGACACCACTGCAGTTTACACCTGTTTTCTTTGCAACTTCACTTTATCAATTTCACACTCTCAGTCAGGGTATAAGGAAGCGGGGAACTGGAACCCATAACTCATGGCTCACCTCATGGAAATCGAAATCGCACAATTCTGGGAACTCTGGCTACCTAACCTGTATCCAGAACGTCTAGCTAATGCCCAAGTAACAGAGAAAAGGCAAAAAATGAGGAATTCCTCTATGGTGACTAGCACATTGAGCATTTTTTGTTGAAGAAACATCCAAATTTTAGAGCTTGAATGATTCCAGGAAGTTTCCCAAAGCGAAAGTGAAGTTATACTAGCCTAGATTCTCCATGTGAGCGTATAAAATTAAACATTCAAATGCCTTTCGCTCTATGAATTCAAATTGTACATAGAGTATAAAAATATAAAGAATTGTACAAGAAAAAGACAAAGAACGAACTGTAGGAAATATCGAGTAAAAAAGATAATAGCTAGAAACCACAACTATGAAGAATAAATCAAATGAGAAGCAGATGGAAAGTTGATGAGATTATAACGTACCTTCCAATTTGAATAGTAATGTTTACTGTCGACAATTTCACGCCAATCCGGTGTCACCAAATAGCCCATATACGAGATGCTGCCAATCACTATTGTGCTTAACGTCAGCCATTTTGCCCATCCCCCTGAAATTCATTTTCACTTGAAAATGCTCGACATCTTCAAGCTCCTTTTATGAAACCACAACACTCCACAGAGAAACAATCAAGGTTTTCGATCATAAAATTATAAAAAATTCTGAAAAGGCTTAATTAACTTGTGTTAATAGAGTCCAGTGGAAACCAACATTAATTATAACTCTCATTTTCTTTTTTTTTTTTGATTTTCAAAGTAAAAGCATTTTTGGAACACGGTAGCATCCCTGAACAACTAAGAGATATGATTGCCGCAAAGAGGTACCAATGATTTGGAGCAGAAGATTCCGTTGAATTCAGAGGCCGCCATAATCATCACTATCAATAAGAAGAAATAATGTTCAGTTAAGCCACTTATATAAGCCAAAAAGAGCTATGAACGGTGGTATGTCATTCCAAAATATTGCTCAAAGCTACTACCCATTCTGCTGTTATTGTAAACTCGAACGGAAAATGGATGCATGATGCACCCTGCCGGTGGACCCTACCTCATAACGATTCTACTCCTTGAGGGTCTTGAGAATGAGCTCATGAGCTTCGTTTGAAAATGGTACCAGCTAATCTAATAAATGAAAATGGTATCTTCCTTACAGTAACCGTTACCAACGCGACCTCAGATCAGTTAGGGGGAGCGGTGGTACACACGAAAGTAGTGGATGGGAAGTCCTCAAGAAGGCGAACCGTCGGGTGAGAAGGCAAATCAGAAGCGTATCGCTGGAATCGCCGTTGTTTTGGCGATGATAGCTTAAGACTTTCCATCGTGCCTTCAGTGCACATAGACTACTGGCCTTTCTGATTTTATTCATCACTATTGTCTCTTATTACATCAAACCGTACCGGAACATGAACGAGACCCGACTTCCGAATAATGCGATTCGATGCCGTCGGAAAATAACAAGTTTCTCACGAATGTCAGTTCAGAATTAATCAGAATCCGTCAGGAAACCCCGTTAAAAACGCAAATTGTTACATTTCTTTTCGATAATTACAGCACTACACGACATGGAAATGGCAAAAAGTATCCCACGAACACCAATCATCAGCTTGGAGCATTCGCTGTAATCTTTCCCGTCGAGATGATAGCCGGCTTCCTGATGATGTCGTTAGCACTACTGGCCAGCCACCTCCATACGTGATGCGATTGCAAAGGAGTAACATAAAATGAACACACTCGGTTGTAGCCATGATGAGAGTATAACTAACATCGTATACGAAGTTAATGATCAATAGACGGTAATCACACGATATCACCGCAGAAGAAAGGCTGTTACTATCTCCGAGCTACAGACTGAGTACGGTTGGTTGCAGATGAACCTGACTTTGGTGGTTGACTCTAAAATATTCAGGGATCTGATTTATAACGAGGACATCCCATTTAGAGCAAGATATAGGGCTCCAATGATGAGAAAATCACCATGGCTATAGTAAAATATGCACTCAAATAACCCCGATAACTGTCAGCCTTAGAGCACAAGGGAGTGGTGGAGATAGAAAGACAAAACGCCCGCATTTCCAGCTTGGATGTAGGCTCACAGCTGATAGCATGTATTGTGTCAGTTTCCCACTGATTGGGGGAGTGGGGGAGGGAGGAAGCGAGAAAGGCAAGAGAGGGAGGGGAGGAAGGTGTAGCAATCGAAGACGTGGGGCAAGAAAAGAATAAAAGACGATTACCGCAAATAGTCAGAACCCGTTCGAGCTTGGGTCTTGAAACCTACTTATCTAACAAGTTGGTATCGTGACCGAGCACTCGAAGATTCCAGTAATGAGCACGATGACAAATGGAATCATGAAGCTACTCAATCGATATTACAGAACCCCCCTATCATCATTCATCATTGAACAGTTTCTGATCGAACAAAGAGCGCGACAAGGAATTCGATACATTTCCCCTCGAGTTTTCTGATAGAACCCCTGATATGCCAGCGTCCGAAGCAGCAAGTCTGCATCCGTACACAAGCGTGTCTGTTTATTCTGTTTTGACGAAATGTCCTGTTTACTTACATATGAGTAAAGGGAAGAGTAAAGGCAATCAAAGCCTAATGGCGTCATATTGAAATGAAGCTTTGAAGCTATCACCAATCGATATTGTTTATCAAATAGACAAAAGATAGAGCCAAATAGAACAGAGTCTATAAGCTGCTAATGCAAAAAGAAAGAACCAGAGAAAGTCAAAAGAGCAAAGGTCGGGGTCGACTAGTTACGTGTTCGCGATAAAGTATAAGGGTTGGGAGGGTAACTGAGGTTTTCGGCTATTTCATGGAGGAACTACTGAGAGGAAGGAGTTCAGTAAAGAGTCGAACGGAAGAATTCTTTGATTTCAAGTGTGGGAGACCTGATACTTCCCACTCTCCCACAGTCGAGTATTAAAAGGGAGAATTAGAATCACACAGGAGACCAAAATAGTACGGCTAAATGACTGAACAAATTCCTTTGAAGCAGTTAGAGTGGACTCGAGGACCCCGATCCCCCTGGACTCTATGGCTCAAAATTTTAGCAAATGATATTTTCCGCGGTTTGTTCTCGGAAAAGAAGCACTTCTATTCACAGCACTCCTAGTTCGACGCGTGATTGGTCATTTCTAGAAAAAGAACACTAAAATAAACAAAAAAGTGTCGATGACATTTCCAGGTGCACTCTGGAATGTTCTATGTCCTTCCTGCGAACAATCGATTACTCACACAGTTGTATGACTCATTCAGGAGAATCCTACCGTAATGAGGGACACGTCGCACGTCATCAAACATAATTCGATCGTCCGGGAATACTTATAATCGCAAAGTATGCACAATTAACAAGCCTTACTAGATAAGATGTGGGAGGAGAGACAGAAGATAATCGAGATTTTCTTAGGCTCACCACCCATTGAGACCTTTCAGAGATGACGGCAGCAGAACGAAATGTCTCCTCAGAGAATTCGTTCGTCACGAAAACAGACTTCATTCTACATTCTATGGCATTCATTGGTCCAAGAAAATCAATGACCCACAACGAAAGACGCATTTCGAAGATAATTCCTAGCCTCCCCTTCCGACGAAAAAAAAACTAGAGTACTCTTTGAGTTCTGGCTCCGATTGGCCTCTATGACAGAGACCAAGACTGCCCGTGCAGCGGGTTTTTTCTTTCCTAAGCATCCAATTCCGCTTCGGCGAACCAGCTGACGTAAGTGGTGGCCAATGAGTTCACAGCGAGGACAATATTTGCGGGCGCAGTTCATGGACATTTCGGGGACGAGATCGAGGAAACAAATGGAACCAGCCCGAGCCTTGCAGGTCAGGTGACAAGAGTAGCACGTGCGATAGAACACGAGGACTTGAAAGCGACGGAAAAAATAACAATTCCCACGCGCCGATACTTTTGAAAACGCGATCAAAGAGCACATCGATGATCGGCCAAAGAAAGAATTGAAGGTCAGTCTGAACAAACACCCCAGAGCACCTGACCTCACGCGCAGTCCCTTTTTAGCCCACTTTTATTTGGACCTTTCAAAATTTTAAAAAAGACCGAAAAATCCCACAGTTAACGTCATTTAATTCGGAAAAAATTGAAATTCTTTAAAGCATTTTACGAAGAATTAATTTAATAGTAATTTCTACAGCTAATTTACCAGAAACATCATTTAACAATGTAACAAGCGGTGAAAAAAAACTATAACCATTTCTACAAATGAGTAAAAATTAAAAGCAACAAACATAATCCAATAAGCGTAACAAGCCGTAAATAAAACTCATAACCAGTAATAATCCATAATAAATGAATGTAAAACATGCCAAGTCTCAGCTTTTAAATTCGAAAGTGAAGTCTTCAGCCGTTTTCAGAGCTAGATTCTGTTGAATATCTCACAAGATTAGACGGTCCCCTTATAAATTTCTACCCGGGTATTACTCCCACACCTATACCCTCCTCCCTATTTATCCCCATCAAAGAAAACCTTGTCCAAGGTCATCTATCCGTAAACAGCGATGACTCATCGACTACCCAGTTCGTTTGCATGGATAATTTCCCAGTGACATTGACAAACAAAAAGCAATCTTGGGCTTAACAGGCACAGAAACATGGTTATTAGTAATGAGCAGCTGTAGGACCTATGAGTGGGTGTTATAATAGTCGAAGAAGTTTTTTCGGAAACAAAAAAACGCGATAAAAAAACATTTGGGATTTCTGATGAGATGGTTTTTGATAAGATAGAAATTTACTTACAAACTGGTATAAAAACTAGTAGCGGATGTAGAACGATGTCGAACCAACTGGAGCTATCTTGTATAAGCATCAGCATCTCGGCTTTTGGTAGGGGAAACTCCTACAACAATGTCACGGTAGTCTCGATAGTCTCTGTTAGGGAACGATTGGCGAGCGTAATGTGAGGTTCGGACGGGAATGTGTGTTTCAGATTAGATCTCTTAACCAGTTGTTCTCTGTCCGAAAACCCGACCAATACGAGACACAACACACCGTCACCCGATCACGACGCACCCAAATAGTAAATGGGAACAAGGCAAGGGCGGGACGCGCCCCCGCTCGCGCAGCTGCACAACACCCCCACCTGCAACTCGCCCCGCCCCGATTCCCACAAGATGGCCAAGGAGCCTTCGATGCACAGCATCACGCTGACTGGCACTACGTGTTGACTGCGAGCTGCTCATGATCTCTGAGCTAGCCGTGGGGAGGAGCGACGATGAAGGCAGGAGCTACGACGTCATTACTTAACGCAATCAAATTTCATTTCGGAAATGTCACTTTCTCCGCATTTTCGAGTGACACAGCAGTCCATACTGGATAATGCCCAGCTGTTACTCCACGGAGGGCCAGACATTACATAGAGAAGTACGACTGTGAAAAAAGAGAACCTTTGTGAAGTTCGACAAGTGCTGGAAAATCCTCTCACAGGGACTCAAGGGAAGGATAATCTTCATGCGGGAGTAATAACAACTGTTAGCATTGAAACTTGCAATTCAAAAAAAAAAACGCTCCGTAAACATGAAGAATAAGAGAAAAATTGAAAAGGACGTAAAAAAATTTAAACGAATTATGCCATTCAAACCACTATACAAGATCATGGTGAAATATGTAGGGAGGTAGCGTAATGAGATCGGAAATAAATTGTTGATGTGAGAAAATGAAGCAAAGATAACGAGTAGCAACAAAAAAACCCTTTAATGAATCAGAGACAACGTAAATAAAAAGACCAAGTCCATCGTTACTGGGAATTAGATGTACGTAAGAGTTTTAGAATTATTTCCGCTCGAATCCCATCAAGGAGAAGGCCCACCCTTCTGCTCATTACTTTCTATGCCTCTACAAAGTTTCTAAAAAAAGATTCACTGCAGGAGTTACAAAAACATCAAAGTAGTCAGGGTTCCTCGAGTTCGGATGATAACCTTAATGCAGAAGGCGCATGCCACCGTCAAACATTCGATTCATCTCATTACTCCCTCATGAAGTGGATACATATTATTCCCAGCAGCAGATACTCTCCAAATCAAAATGAGCCGGGTTAATGAGTTGAAATGCCCTAGTCGACTAGACCCGGATCGCCTACTCGGAATGAAGCTTGGAAAACCGAAATTTTGACTTGATAAGGAAGAGCAGCAAGCCCCCGAGTGAGCTAATTACAAGTACAACTCCCTCTGTAGCTTTGAATGGAACTCATGGGCGCAGCATCCCGATGGATTACTCCATCCTCATGGAAGGCATGCCGTACATATTACATGGATCTCTCATCGGAATGCCCTACGCAGTCGAGTCCATTGAAAATTACAGAGACAGTGACATGCGTATTCATCTGGCTCAAATGTTACAGCACTCTCCCATCTCTCATGTCAGAGATTCGGTAAGACAGCTGGTTAAGACCATCCCACAAGGTACCTGTGCCCGGAACGGAATGTTAATGCAGAAATCAAGTTGCAAGTATCTCCAGACTTTCAATCTTACAAATCTGTCATTTGAGACCCCAACTCGGAAATACTATCAAGTGGCAGAACTGCCACCCGGAAAGCTCGACTTTTCCCTCCTATTCGTGGGATCATCCTCGTCCCATCTCTAAGCCTTCCACTGAT